CCAGCCAGATCTCCGCCTCGGAGCCGATGCTCTTGCGCATGTAGTCGTAGAGGGCATCGTTCTCCTCCCCGCTCTGGGGGGTGCTGAGTGTGCCGCCCTGAGAGATGCAGTTTTCGCTGGCCTCGTGGTACGTCTTGGTCTCCGAAAACGCAAGGAAGCATTTTAGGTGAATTTTGGTGCCTTTCAGGCAAACTGAAGAGGTTACCACACAAACAGGACAAAAAAGACAGAAAGGGAATCAGTGTTAAAAATAGCGCCCTGGAAGAGGTGGCAGCAGCAAACGCGGCGGCCAGACCACAGACTTCATTCCTTAGGCTGCGCGGTGACTCCCGGCAGCCCGGGAGTCCCAGGGGCCCTCTCCCTCCTACACAGGGCACGGCTGCAGGGACACAAACGGACCTCGGGGTGCCCCCTGCCACCCTCCTGGGCTCTGCTGCTGCCGGAACAGGGGCACCGCATGGTCCTCCTACCCCTTCCCCTGGCCTTGCTCTTCCCCCCCTGCTGCTAGGTTTTCTCTGACGGGTTTGTTGGAGGTAAGGTTTGTGATGGGCACTGCCGGGTGTGGGAGTGTTTTGGGAAATAGTCTGCGATTTCGATTCAATCATCTTAATTATGCAAGCACAAGAAAAATGTCTTTTTTAATAGGTTTTGATAAGAAGTGTTGTGCTTGCGTAGCTTGAGGTCTTCAGAGGAAATTTCTACTTGCCTCTGATTTTATTGTTAAGAATAGCAATTTTTTTTTTTTTTTTTTAAGCTCTATCCCCTGAGAGTGCAGGGTACTGTAGCCAAACAATAACTAATCAGAGCCACGCATTAATACCCAAACCAATGAATGTGAGCTTGGAAATGAAGCCTTGATTTTGCATGCGTTCCCTTTCTTTCAAGGCGAAAATTCTCCTTAACTTGCATTTTTCACCTCATTTCTGTTCCGTGTTGTGTAAATCCCTCTCCTATCAATGTCGGTGGAGTTTGCACAGAATAACCGTGGAGTATGGCTGGAAGGTGGATGTTTTGGGACTGTCCTCTGTATGTGTTCAACGAAGCATGGTGGGACTGACCTCCACAAGGTTCCCTGGGCAATACCGTGGTACGTATAAGAGACCAGGTCACCATTCCGCTGGGGTTCAGGCAAAAGAGTAAGCTACATTTCACCGAAGTACAGAATAACCCATTACCCGCCTCTCTGATTCATAAAGGAAAAGGAACATCTGGCTCAGTGTCACAGAAACAGCCACAGCTTTACAAATGGGAAGCTCCAGCACATACAGAGAGGGGGGGCCATACGCTGCACAACTCATGTCATTGACTACTCGAGGAGCTTCATCTGCCCGGGAGAACTGCAGTGAGCCCACGCTTTGCTTTCATCCCCCAATCTCTCTCCCTGTGATGGACTCCTTGTCGCAGGGTGCTCGGGCATCTCTTGTTAAAGCATGTGGAGCAATGGTAGCCGCGTGAGAAGCAGCTCCTCTCTCAAAGCAGAAGCCATCCCTCCTTTAGCGCGTCCTTTACCTGTCTGGAGTGCTTGCTTTTCCTTCAGTAGAGCAACCTCCTGAGAGATGTTGTCAATCATGGCCTTCAGGTCTTCAATCATTTTGAGGCTCACACCATCTGTTGGAGAAACCAAGGGAGGAGCATAAACATCAGCCGCAACCCAGGGGGAGGCAGCCAAAGCTGTTCCTTATCATCAAAACTCCCTGTTTCTCTGCTCTCAGAGAAAGATAAACCAAAGGGATCTGCCCTAGCCTGGTTCCACCAGCAATCCAGTTTTCCCAGCCTGGGTTTTGGGGCTTTGCACCTGGCGAGGCTTCGTGGGCAGTGGTGTCCCCTTGGGCTGGTGCTGCAGTGCTGGGGTGGGGGCTGCACGCATGAGGATCGCAAGGTGCAGGCTCACTTCTGGAGTCTCTATGCAAGGCACTCGCCTGGGGTGGTGCTGCACTGGGGTCAAGCTCCCAAAATGCGGGAGGGCACCATACAATGCTGGCCTTCCCGAGCAGGAGTCCTGCCACACATGGGTGCTTTGTGGGGAACTTAAAGCTGCTGCTGAGTAGCATTGACTGCTTTTTTAAACTCCTCAAAAACACACCCTCTCACTCTCTATTCACAGCACACCCTCCTGGCTTTCCTTAAGCACCCTGATGCATTATTTTCTCTGTATGTGCTCCTTGCTGTGCCCCCAGGTCAGTCTGCTCTCCTGGGTTCGTTGGCAGGAAAGCACTTTGCTCGCCAGGCTGATGCTCA